AAAACGAAAAACGGCCCGGCGTAACATGTAGCCCCCTGTGGGTAACCGACTTGGCAGGACAAACTGGCGGCGGCGATCGTTTGTTGTTGCTACTCAAGCTGACGATCCCGACAAGGACAACGTGGTGTTGTTGTTGCCAGCGTTACCCGATGGTTTGGCACGAGAGAAACGTGCTGACCCCCAGCAACTGCTCCCCTTGTGTATGTACCCTCACGGCAAACGGGCAAATTTCTGAAGTCGCGAGGTTTCACCAACATGAAATAAATGTACATAGCCCAAGAAAAGCCCAACAAGGGAGCGAAACCCACCTCTTCAACTCGGAAAGCTAAATAGAGTACAGCACGCGTTAGCGTTACAATCAGAAGCAAGACCAAAGAAGCTTTGTTCGCTGTTACAGGATTTGGAGGTAGCCATGTGACGGTGCGTTGCCATGGATATGTGACGTCATGGCAAGATTCAGGAATTGTTCCGAGTCATGCACCCTTTCTGCTCAGTGTGCGTGTTGCGCTTGGGTCTAATTTGTGTTGGATTCCGGCTGCACGGTATACGTGCAAGGCGATAAGAGCATAATCAAGGAGAACAAGGGAAAGTAGCAAAAGCTGCAGATGTGGTCGGAATACTGCTGTAGTTCCACACAGCCCCGAGGTGATTAACACAGGTGCAAATCACATTAGCAGCACTGCTGTTTACGAACATGTCGTGGTTCATCAACCCTATTACCGGCCAGTAGTTAGCGGTAATATACTCTTGGTGTGGAACCCCGGTCTCCCCCCCCCCACACACACAACTAGCTACCTGCACGTGCAGGGTAGGCATTCGCCAAGTGTTGATTTTCCGTAGAATTGTAAGCAGGCCATTGGCGCAAGTAAATATTGCGTGTTCCGATGCAGTGCGTGTATTGAACGACACTTGGTGTTACGCCACACAGGGGTCAGACACGCAGACAAGTCGTTCATGGGCAGGGAGGCAACGAGATGAAGTTGGTTTTGAAAATATGTTCGGGGCTCTTGGTGCGAATCAAGCTGTAAGAGTATCCTTCCGTGGCAGCAGTCCAATCGTACAAACGCACATGCTGCAGCCACCAACCACCCGGCCCCGCTGCTCTCCGACGACCTGCAACACGCCTTGCTCCCCACGTTTCGCACCCTCTTGTTTCTCTTCCCCGCGGCGGCCGATGCTTCTGGTTGGCCCACAAAACCAGTCGGGGTGTGCCTGATGGTCCTGTACGTGGTATGGCTGGACCAGGCGTCGCAAGGGCTACTCGTTTGGCTGGCGGGGGGATCGCCGCTGGCGGAGCTCGTTCCTTTCAAGATGCTTGGGGAGATGGTCGGCGGGGGCGATGAAATGGCGATTCCTGGGGCGTACGCATGACATTACACCGCGCATGGGAACGTTGTGCGATGGAGCGGAGGGGGGGGGGGGGGGG